GCGCGTAGGCGTAATGAAATATTTCCTAATACAATACGGTGGACTTTCCGGGTGTTATATATAGTCGCAGGACAAACGTGGGTGTTGTTTTTCTGTTATAAATATACTCATGATGGCATCAAACGTCGTGGGTTTTCTCCGAATCCCCCGGTTTCCTCCCACTGCTAAAAAAGTCGAACCTTTAGTCCGGAATAATCTTTTAGAGGTATTTAGTCATGAATAGTCATGAGCAATAAACTATAACACCTACTTATGGAAAACAGCTACTATTCATTTTGGGCGACGTTTCGAGGTGTATTCTCCCAACGTTATCAAGCTCTCTCTCTCTCTCTCTCTCGTGCGAACAAAACGATGAGAACGACAGGTCGATCGATGGACGAACAGACGGACAGACATGTTGGCGGCAACAGAGAGAGAGGGAGAGAGAGAAATGGGGTTTAACGTCCACTCGACACAAACTAAGTCATTTCGGGACTAACATATGGTTTTTAATTTTATTTCAATAATTCGCTAGCGCGTAGGGGTCTTTAGCAGTGGGAGGAAACCGAGGAACCCACAGAAAACCCACGAGGTTGGACAGGCGACCCTACTCCTTGTCACACGTATAACCGGGGAATCGAAACCACGCCAGTTGACTCAATAACAGACTTTATGATATAGCGAGCACACGCTAACCATTCAGCCACCCACCGACCCACCCGGCGGCAATAGAAGACCATATTTTACAGTGTAGGCGTATAAAAAATTAACCACACTCGGACAAACCAAATCCCTGTGTATGCCGAGTAAGTTCCCCGGGATTTTTCGGCAAGGTTTCCACTTGGCAGTGATGCAGAGCCGGGATCCTGGCAATGGACAGCGTCTAATTGTTCAGATGTAAGAAAACACGAGAGAGAGAGAGAGAGAAAATGGGGTTTAACGTCTACTCGACACAAACTAGGTCATTTCGGGACTAACATATGGTTCAATTTTATTTCCATAATTCGCTTGCGCGTAGGGGTCTTTAGCAGTGGGAGGAAACCGGAAAGAAAACACGAGGTCACGTATATACATGTATATGGGGTGCTCGTAAAAGAACCCTTGGCATTTGGAATTAAAAATAAGAGTAAACCGTAGCGCCGCTGCATGTGCAAAATTTCCCGCATTTGATTTGCGGGGGTGGGGCGGGGTCACGGACGCTGGCTCGCTAGCCTGGTTGTCGGGTGTTCGATTCACTGCATTGGTCGAGAAAGTTCATCCAGATTTTTCGGCGTGGTTCCCCCTTGTCAGTGATGCAGGACGGAGGGCCTGACAAGGACAGCTGTCTAGTCGTTTGGGTGGAACGGTAAACCGAGGCCCCGTGTACGCATTAGCGTGCACGTAAAAGATCCCTTGACAGTTGGAATTCGATGTAAGAGTAGGCCATAGTGTCGCTGTCCGGGCAAAATTTCCTTCATGGCAGACTGTATACGGCGTATGCCCGTCTTCATTAGCCCAGTTCGGAGCAGAACAGTTAGGACATTAAACCCTATTTCATTCCATTTCCATATTTTTAGAGGGAGATAATTAAGAAGAACACGTTACAGATCCCCCTCTTATTGCCACCTAAAAAAATAGACTTACAATTATATATTACACCCTACCTTGTCCCCAAGTTGGGGGTTGGGGGGTTGGATGGCTGAATGGTTAGCACGTGCGCGCTGTATCATAAAGTCTTTCATTGAGTCAACTGGCGTGGTTTCGATTTCCCGGTTGTCCGTGACAAGGAGTAGGGTCGCCTGTCCAACCTCGTGGGTTTTCTCCGGGTCCTCCGGTTTCCTCCCACTGCTAAAGACCCCTACGCGCAAGCGAATTATGGAAATATAATTGAACCATATGTTAGTCCCGAAATGACCTAGTTTGTGTCGAGTGGACGTTAAACCCCATCTCTCTCTCTCTCTTGTCCCCAGTTAAACAGTAAAGTTTCAAATCACATTACTACAAAAATTTAAAACCAAAATCTTAAAATTGCAATACGTTTTAAAACAGACATTGGAACTAGAAAAACTTGACTTCGTTGAGCCCATCTTATGAACCACCGAGCCATCGGATTGGTTAATTTTAAACATATTTTAAGCATTAATTAAATAAACACGTTTATATATGAGGTACATTTTGATATTTAGTTTCGAGAACAGTGGATACGATGAAGGACACGGAGAAATACTCGGCAGTTACCAAACTTGGTGAAGGTGCTTTTGGTGAAGTCTATCTTATTCAACAGACAGCCGGAAAGAGAAGGGTGAGTTTTATTTTATAGCAAAAAGGCTGGATTTGAAGTTTGAAAAGAACTAGAAAATCTTTTTTGTACCCATAATTTGTGCTATCATTTTTAAGGAAAGATGCCTGGCGTCTCAGAAACACAGTACTTGGTCATTTAGAGATTATAATGGTTATTTTTATTTTCTCGGTTTAGTATTCATTAATACGGGCGAACTCGTACATGTATATGTGGACCTCGGGTTTTCGCTCCATCCCAACGACTAGAGCTTTATTTAATTTGTTAGGCCCGCAGACTCCTTACTGACCAGCTTAATTTTTATATCCCGAGATTCAAACACCGTATCTTGTCGCGTGAAAAACTCTTCGTACTGATTACAAAAAAAAAAAAAAAAAAAAAAAAAAAAATTCTAAAAATTTACCCATAAGACCATTAATAATAGTTCCAAATCTGAAATTATAAAACGCAAGTTTTAAATACAGCGTTCATTTTTCGTATTAAATATGGCTTGACTTTTCAGGGGCGGATCCAGAGAAAAGTGTCTTGGCCGTGTACTGTTTTATCCTTTATCGTCAGATGTGGGACAGGATGGGCAATCAAAGCACAAGATAATGATATAGACATTATGTGATATCACAATTAATGCTTTGCATTAATTCATAATATACTATTCAAAAAAAGTAGGGAATATTTGATTTTTAAGTGTTATTAAAGTCACCTAATGAAACTGACGAAGAAACAAATGACAAAATGAAATGAAGTTCACATTCATCGATTTATTCCAAATGATCGTTAGACTAAGTAAGGCACAGACTGACCATTATAAGGGTAAAATGATACCCGGGGTCAAACAGCAAAGTTACCACAGCATCACAACCAAGTCAGTAACGGGTAAATCCTCCTCTGTTTGCCAAACAAGCATTGATCCGACGTGGCATACTCCTAATGAGACGTCTAAGGTCGTTGTGGTCCAGATTGTCCCATTCCTGTTGCAACGCAGCAGCAAGTTCTTGGACATTGGCAGGACGTTGTTGACGTTGACGTAACCTCTGTCCAAGCATGTCCCAGACATGCTCGATGGGGGAGAGGTCGGGACTCAGTGCTGGCCAAGGTAATGTGGTGATGTTCTGTTGTTGGAGGTAACCTGTAACGATCCTGGCCCTGTGACATCTTGCGTTGTCATCCTGGAAGATGAAACGGCGGCCATGACGTCGTGCGAACGGCACAACATGGACTGCCAAGATGTTGTCCCGGTAGTACTGGCCTGTAACACGCCCTGCAACAACATGTAAAGCCGTTCTTCCAGCAACAGTGATGCCTCCCCACACCATAACAGAACCACCCCCAAATCGATCATGTCTGATGACGTTAACGTCTTGGAAGCGCTCGTTTCGACGACGCCACACCCTCCTACGTCTGTCCAAAATATCAACAGTGAACCTTGACTCATCTGAAAACATCACATTGCTCCAGCGTCGATTATCCCAGTGTTGACGATCCCTACACCAACGACGTCTTGCCTGAATGTGATGATCTCTCAAACAAGGGATCAAGCGAGGACGTCGGGCGCGAAGGTGACCCCTATGCAGTCGATTCCGAATCGTCTGGCCACTCACTCTCACACCAGTGTCTGTTTGAAGACGAGCGCTGATCTGATTTGCTGTGATGACACGATTTCTCAAGGCCAAGGTACGGATAAATCGATCCTGGGCTTGAGTTGTCGCCCTTGGTCGACCTGAGCGTGGTCTGTTCTGTACAGATTGTGTATCACGGTATCTGGACCATAGCCTGCTTATGACAACTGAGAAACATTCATCGTCCGCGCCACAACCGCCTGTGTTGTGCCGATCTGTAGCATGCCAAGGGCACGTAACCTTTCATTTTGGGTAAGCCGACGCATATCAAAATTTGTTTTCTGGTCACTAAAACAATTAAACTGATGTTTCCACCCTGGAATTCAATGCCACAATGACTGTAACATTCAAAGTCAGAGTCGTGCAAATCTTGGGTTGGACCCCCATGATGATCCCAAGCATCACCTGCATTCCATGCGGTAGCTATTGGTGCGTTTGGGCGTCACATGTAACTGGAAATGTTTCTTCTGTGACTTTTTTCGTAGTCATTTGCATATTTTAGTATTATGCCCCCAAAATCAAATATCCCCTACTTTTTTTGAATAGTATAAAAATTGACGTCAAACGAGGTGTGGAATTTCTTTGTTTAAAAGGTTCAATGTGTATGTATATACGCCAAAATGACGATAGAGGCAATGCGGGAGGAGGGGGGGGGGATACATTGTCTCAGGAACCTGGCAAAACCCCTCCTGTAAAAATTCCTGGATCCGCCCCTGCTTGAAATTTTCAATCGTTTCCTCTTTTATAATATAACACCACTTTCCATTGTAATATTTTTCCTATTTGTAATTAGGTAAGTCAAAGTTATAAAACAATCGATAAAAATGAGACATAGAAAAAGGGACGTCTGTGAAGGTTAATCCCTCTTTTTGTCCCAATATCTTGACGAGACTCCTTCTATTGCTCACGTAGTAGGCGACCGTTATCTGTTTTATCCAACCCTTTTTATCAACAAAAACAAAATATTGCACGAGACGTGTAACGTATGAGCATGCGTGGGACCGTCCTCTATTTGTCGCGATCATGAAGTCCCATATTGTTGATAAATGTCCAACGAATAAATTTGTCTGGAAGATCAAGAACAAAGCGTAAACACGCTAAAAATCATCGTCACCGGAAAACCATGCTATTTATAACGTCACATGAAGCGGATTGGTTTTAAAACTGTTAGTGTGTGTGTGTGTTTATTTGTGTATTTGTGATACTGTCACCAATAAAGCATCTAAGCTTCAATTAGTGTTAGTCATAACACCAGCCAGGACCCAGGAAGATACTGTTCTGAGAGACAAATAACGGTGAACCGGGGTCCCTTCCCTGGAGAGGTTGATCTTTTGTCGGAAACTTCAAAGGACGGGATTGTAGTACGGTGTTGTCGTTGTTCATTGAAAGTGATTCATATTTGAATAGACACATTTTAAAATGGAACCCACGGATAGTAATTTCGATATCACAGCAGAGTTAGGGATTGGAGCCTATGGTTCGGTTTATTTAATTCAACACAGAAAACACAAGAATTTACTGGTAATTATGATGAAAATATGAAACATCTGCACACGTTTGATATTGATGTGTTAACTGGATCAGTCTTCAATCCAGGCCGTCGAACAGCAGACGTAGTAAATGAAATATTATTGAACAGTCTGTGATACATGTATTCACGTGATACAACATCTGTCTGTGTGCAGTCGACTGCAACATCCAAATATAATTGATCTAACAATAATTATAAATTTCAAACACAAATTATTTCTTGGATTAAAAAAATTAACTTTTAAAGCCAGTATTTTAAAATATTATGCAATTATTAATTATTACCAGGAAATAATTTCAATATCAAAATTGGAACTTTTAAAAGCAATTGAAAGCTTTAATATCATGCCACTGCTCGACATGTTAAAGATCCCCAGACAGTTGTACAATTGAAATCTGTGCAGGCTGTAGCATGGTGCATGCCTCTCTTTATTAGCCCCTTTGGCATAGAATACTAGAATAGGACCGTGAACCCCCATTTCATTTAATTCCAATTATATAAAGCCCATAACCCTTTGTATAATGTCTGATCAAAGGAAATGCATGTACATGTACCATGGAACTTATAATAGATAAAGGTCCATGGAATACACTTTCTAATAAAAATATATACCCAACAACCCTTAAAATAGGGATTAATATATTAAATATGTGTATGTAATATTGCATAGTTGACAAGTGATATTCAACAGTTTATGCTTTAGCTACTATTGTTTACTGGGTTTTATTAGGCTGTTAGTTTTAATATAATATTATATTATATATAGGGTTTGATATTATTAAATTTATATATATACATATATATACAGTATTATACCAGAGTTTAATAATCACAACATATCAGTCTATAATCTAGCACGTGCGCGCTGTATCATAAAGCCTGTCATTGAGTCAACTGGCGCGGTTTGAATCTCTGGTTGTATGTGACAAGGAGTAGGGTCACCTGTCCAACCTCGTGGGTTTTCTCCGGGTCCTCTGGCTTCCTCCCACTGCTAAAGACCCCTACGCGCAAGCGAATTATTGTAAAAAAAAAATAAACCATATGTTAGTCCCGAAATGACCTAGTTTGTGTCAAGTGGGAGTGTGTTAAACCCATCTCTCTCTCTCTCTCTCTCTCTCTCTCTCTAATCTGGAAGTTTGGATGGCTGAATGGTTAGAGCAGTGGTTCTCAGCCTTTTTTTTCCTACGCCACACCTTGGAACACATGAAAAAATAGTGGCACACCTGGCTAAATATATATGAAAAATATTTGAATTTTGCAAAATAAAAACGTGACAAGTCATAGACACATAGAACACAGCTATGAACTTACCAACCAGTGAATACTCAATTAGGATCACATAGTTTTTCACATTCTCTTAGTGTGCCGTTCAAAATTTCGCAGCACACTTACGAAGTTGAGAACCACTGGGTTAGAGTGTGTGCATTGTATCACAAGGTCAAATGGCATGGTTTTGATTTCTGTGTTGTATGTGACAAGGAGTAGGGTGGCCTGTCCAACCTCATGGGTTTTCTCCGGGTCCTCCGATTTCCTCCCACTGCTAAACACCCCTACGCGCAAGTAAATTATTGAAATAAAATTGAACCATATGTTTGTCCCGAAATGACCGATTTTGTGTTGAGTGGACGTTAAACCCCATTTCTCTCTCTCAGTCAATAATCTAAAAATATAATTGTTCAGATATTGTTCAGATGGCACGAAAACTTGAGCTCCCTGGTACACATTTACGGGCACGTTAAAGATGCCTTTGCAGTTGGAATTCAAGTAAGAGTAGGTTGAAAAGTTAGTGTCAGGGTACAAGTTCTCTTATCATAGCACAAGGCAATAGCCTGATTGGTACAGAAAAGTAGGATGTTATACAGATACATCCCATTTCAGTTAACTCAATTAACCTTGGTTTTTGGACCATCCGATTGACTATACATGTACATTGTCCCTTGCCAGACCCTCTTTTGTGTACTTTCTCTGCCAAAGCAGGGATCAAACACGCAACCTCCAGGTTAGCGAGCCAACATCTTACTCATCGAGCCACCGTGGCTCCGTCACATCATAAAAGAACCCTTGACAGTTAGAATTTGATGATGAGTAGGGGTACATGTATGGCCATTGCCCATCTTCAGTACAAAAGTAGGATGTTAAACCCCATTAAATTTTCTTTTATTTTCAATCCCTGTTACAACTCATTTAGTACAATGGGAGTGATGGACAAATTCTGATATCAAATATATTTGATATTTTCCTATATTGTTTTTCAGTTAGCATTAAAGAAGATAGAACTAGCGAACTGTCCAATAAAAGAACGTGAGGAGGCGATGAATGAGGCTCATTGTTTAGAAGACATACACCACGATCATGTTGTACAATTTGTTCATTCGTATTTAGTGGATACTACATTGTTTATAGTAACCGATTTCTGTGAAGCCGGTGATTTATCGTATTTTATGAAAGATTTATTGGATGATTATTTACCGGAACCGTTAATTATGGTGTGGACGGCACAAATACTTGATGCATTAGAGGTAAGTCATGTTATGTTAAAATTTTAAAATACCAGGAATATTCGACACGTCAGTCTCACAGAATTTTTAGTTAGCTCCATTTAGCACCAGTTAGCACAGATTTAACCTCTGTGGCTTTAAATTTGGGGCCGAAACTTCTGTTGCCAAAAGATGTTAGACTACAAGGAATCTGACCTTAAATCTGAGTCTTCTGACCTGAGTCTTCTGACCTTAAATCCAAGTATAAACCAGTTAGACCATACTGGGGTAGTCTTAACATTTGTGGCTAAAGAACCATATGTTAATCCCGAAATGACCAAGTTTGTGTCAGTTGAATGGACATTACCCCTCTCTCTCTCTCTCTCTCTCTCTCTTAGCACCATTTAGCACCTATTTAATTTCTGTGACCTTAACCATGGTGACTGAAACATTAAGGGAAAGCTGTTACCATGCAAATCCAATATACATTAAACCTCTACATGTTACTTTGACATTTCACAAGACACAAGAGGCAACACTCCCTTCATGTAACATAAGACGCAGGAGGCAACACCCCCTTCATGTAACACTTACCACATGATAAATTGTGATGTTTTGGGGTTTTCTTATTGTTTTATTTTAAAATAAATATACCTGTAATTGTAAACACCTGGAGTTTTACCCTATTTATCAAACTATATTGTATGTGGAGGGGAACCACAGTGGATCAGTTAGTAAGGCAAAGGCTTTCTAACCTGGAGGTCTCGGGTTCGCCCCTGGTGTTGGTAAGAGAAAGTTCCTCAGGATTTTCCTGCATGGTTTCCCTTTGTCAGTGGTGCAGGACTGGGGCCTGACAAGGACAGTGTCTAGTCGTACAGATGAAAAGCCGAGATCCCTTGTACACATAGACATGCATGTAAAAGAAACCTTGACAGTTGGAATTTGATATAAGAGTAAGCCATAGCGCTGCTGTTCAGGCAAAATATCCCTCATAGCACACTGTATGATGTATGCCCATCTGCATTATAGCCCAGTCATTTGTATGTGGAGGCTTGTGTAATGAAACAATACTGTACGTACATGTACATGTACAGACTCATGTCATGTAAAAAGCTGGATTTTTAGTTTTATCAAACTGTATTGTATGTGGAGACTGAAATGTCATGTAAAAACCTAGTGTTTTATATGATTTTATCAAACTATGTTGCATGTGGAGGCTTTTGTCATGTATGTGGACCCTCATGTCATGTAAAAACCTGGAGTTTTATGATTTATCAAACTACATGTACATTGTATATTGCATGTGGAGGCTGTTTTCATATGGGGGGTTTGGATGGCCGAATGGTTAGCACATGCTTCAACTGGCGTGATTTCGATTCCTCTGTTGTATGTGACAAGGAGTAGGGTCCCCGGTCCAACCTAGTGGGTTTTCTCCGGGTCCTCCAGTTTCCTCCCACTGCTAAAGACCCCTACACACAAGTAAATTATTGAAATAAAATTGAACCATGTGTTAGTCATGAAATCACCTAGTTTGTGTCGAGTGGACCTTAAACCTATCTCTCTCTATCTCTCTCTCTCTCGCTTTTGTCATACATGTACATGCATATGTGGTATGTCATGTAAAAACTGGAGCTTAATATGATTTTCCTGACAAGGACAGCTGTCTAGTCATTCGGATGAGACGAAAAACCGAGGTCCAGTGTACACATTGGCGTGCACGTAAAAGATCCCTTGACAGTTGGAATTCGATATAAGAGTAGGCCTTAGTGCCGCTGTCCGGGCAAAATTACCCTCATAGCACACTGTATGGCATATGCCCGTCTTCATTAGCCCAGTTCGGAGCAAAACAGTAGGACGTTAAACCCCATTTCATTTCATTTCATTTTTATATGATTTTATCAAACTACATTACATTGTGGAGGTTTGTGTGGTGTATGAAAGATAAAAGCTTATCAATGATATACATGTATATATAGGTAGTTATGACAACCAGATGTCTCATAATATTGACTAAATAAGTATAACAAGTACATGTCTATAAGACAAGTAGGTATACAAACACATCAAATATGTTAACTATTGAATTTCACTCAAATACTCTTTACCTTTCTAGCATGCACATTACACTATACGATTCTATTGAATGTGCAATAGTTTGATCATGATTTTTAACGGATATTTAGCTGAATATACTGAATAAGATCGCTTTATATTGGTATGAATAGACTAGGTTACATAGTTAAATATTAAAGATACATTATGGGAGATTAGATAAAGAGCTGGCATTTCTCACTATAATAGTTAAAAAAAGGTAATGTAAGGGGGATTTTCTGAAAATTTCAGTTAAATTGATCCACTCTGAACCGAGATTTTAGCGATTGAATTTTCGTCCTAGCCTCGATCATCATTACTAAAGTCGGTACGGTAAAAAACATAGTCTCAATTATCCATTTCCTGATTAGATTAAGAATGAAAGTGGAGCAGCAAATCGGATCCTTTTTGGGACCTAGAAATTGACACAAATGGGTTGCAATGCATATAGTAATGTAATATGAATGTATATAAACTGATTTACATTCAATCGTTTCCGTTTTTACTCTCCAGATAAGAATATGTTGTCACCGTTGACATGACTTGTGGAATATGTCTAGCCTCGTTCTTCGTGTAGCCTACCAATGGTAAAATGCTGATTTTGTCTTAAATATTGGATATCAGAAGCCCATCTTTTCCCGATAAGATCACAACACCAATGTTGATTTTATTTGTCAAATAATTTGTGTTTTCAATGTCGAAGACTTTGGATGATATTGAGTTAGAGACTTAGCTACTTTAAAGGGAATTGAGAAATGTTATTGACATCTGTTTCCACAAAATGAACGACATTAGAATAGAAATGAAATAAGGAAGATTTTACGATCAGAGGAACCAAAATGTTGGTGATAATATATATTGATTTAATACGACAACATCTGGACTTTGTATTGCTTTTTAGAAACGTTTTCTGTAAATTTTATTCAATCTAACTTCTAATACATGTAACTACATGCATTGTCATTCAGATGGCAAATTTCAAAAACTAGAAGCCCGGAAATGCCATTTCCTTGATCTGTGACAAGAATCCAGTTCTAAAATAATGAATTATAATGAGACTTTTTCAGTCAGAAATCTTCGAAAATGGTTCCGGTAGAGACCGGCAGTTTCTTCGAGAACTTATGAACAGCACAGAGACGAAATTCTGAAAATTAGTTTATTAAAATACCTGAAAGACCTGACACGTGGATCGAGATTCAAGGGGGTGCTCACCCCACTAGATCCTCCCTTGAAATAAGGCTTTGAGAGGATATTTGTTTGAAACTGAATATCCACGACAAAAACTGATATCCACAACGCGAGAGTCATTAATATTTTAAATCGTATTTTATCGTTCAATAGGCTTTAAAACTGGAAACTAAAACTTGTGCGTAGACGTTATTAATAACTACATTATATTTTGAATCTCTGTTTAACCTCTATATGTATGTAAAATTAATGGACGGGAACATTGTCCTTTAAATGTATTTCTATAAACATTAAAAGCAGAGCTCTTACCATAAAAATTTTGTAACCAGACATTTATTGTGTGTGAAAGTTAAACAAGTCATATCTGAAAATCTATTATAAAAGTATTAAAGTATACATGTAGCTGCTCTCTGATTTATATCTTCCCTTTTAGAAATAAATCTTGTGCCATGGAAGGGAGGTTGGGATGGCCTTGTGGTCTAAAGTGTAGCGCTTTAAGCTCTAGCTAGCCAGTCACCTCTGGCTTGCGGTCATGGTTACTATACCTGGTGTGAGCGTATGTGGCTTTGTGCCATGGCAGGAAGGTTGGGATGGGCTAGTGGTCTAAAGTATTGCGGTCCGAGCTCCAGCTGGCCGGTCACCTTTGGCTTGCGGTCATGGTTACTATACCTGGTGTGAGCGTATGTGGCTTGGAGATAGAGGCGCCTTCTCAACCTTGTGGGTTTACACCGTGTACTCAGGTTTCCTCCCACAGGAAAGACCACTGCGTGTGCGCTAACATAAGAAAAATAAGATAACTTGTTAAACACTAATAGAAGAATGGCAGTTTTTATGTCTTATAATACTCTTTAAATAGGCTGTGTGCTTTTTGATAATCGCTTGAATTGAACTACATGAAAGGTCAGGGCATCTTGAACGTCTGATGATAGTTCATTCCACAATTATACTGAATTATACTGAAAGGATCATTGTCCAAATAATCATAATTTTGGGTTAGCTGATGTAGTGTTTGACTGCGATGATATTTTTGAGACAACTTGGATCGTGACTGAGCTCACATCAACAGTAGCACGGCTGACCAGTATGATTGACTGAAGGCACAAGTTTTCCCAATTTGCAGTAGTAATTCCTATTGGCTAGGTCAACCTGTGCTAAATCTTGATAGCCAAATAATGAACACATGTGTCTCAAGATTGAATAAAAACTGTCTGCAACTTGTCGCAGACGTAGAGCATGTGCAACTCCCTAAGTTTTTCTTGATCCTCACCAATTGAAGGATAACATAAGTCTGGCTCTAGATTTTATTGATTTTCATTGATGGTTGTCTGATAATATTCAGATAAAGATCAGGGTTATAACAGAAAAATAAAGTATATTTTCTAACTGAGTTATTTAAAGTTATGGACAAGTACATGTAGTAAGCATGAATTGATAAGTTAAATAAATTTTGAATTCAAGTGATTTGTTATGGACATGTAGATCTAGTATGCTACATGGTAAATCCCTATTCTTTGGCACCTAAAAATGGACACAAATGGGTTGCAACACATATAATAATGTAACCAGAATGTATATAAACTGATTTACATTCAATCGTTTCTGTTTTTACTGTAATTTCTAATCAGTTATGTTCGGCGAAATTGAATTTCAGTCGTTAGCGTTTAGTTATTCCAGTCTAAAGCAGTAGTTTTCTCCTACATGGGATATGTTTAGACTGGTTATTCCAGTCTATACCAGTAGTGTTCTCCTACATGGGATATGTT